CACAATAGGGAAAGTAACACATACACATAGATAAAACTATTCCCATCATATTGTTTTATCTTTGTTCTGTAGGGCTTTCCCTCTATTCCCATCATATTGAGGGAAAGCCCTACAGAACAAAACAAATAAAGAAATAGGAAAAGCTGGATTATATTATTATTATTATTATTATTATTATTATTATTATTATTATTATTATTATTATTATTATTATTATTGTTTAATTTTATTATTATTATTATTATTATTATTATTATTATTATTATTATTATTATTATTATTATTATTATTATTATTATTAAACAAAAGCAACAACAGCAGGAAAGTAAACAAGACAAAATGAAGAAAACACTGGACAAGCAAAGAGAGACAAAGAAAAAGAAATTAATAATAAAATAAAATCAAATGAAAATATAGTTCTGATTAAGTAGTTAATTTAAAAAACTGGGGTTGATACCATTTCCATCCTCCATACCAATCCCCCGCCATTTATGACTATTATTATTATTATTACTATTATTATTATCATTAAATTTTTTCTGTGGCCCTGATTGCCGCTTTTATAAATGTATATTAAATTTTATATGTGAACTTAATATGCTATTTTGTTGCAGCTGCATATCAGTATAACATATCTGATCTAAATAATTATTTTAAATGAGCTGCTAAAAAACTTTTTTCTAAAAAAACAAAAACTAACTTCAACAGAATTAATGACAACACATCAAAAAAAGTAAAAGTCCTAATATCAAAAAAGTCCTAAGTTTGTTGTCCGATGTCCGATATCCACAGTCCATAGTTGAATTGAGGCTTTTAGCGAGTGCAGATGGAGCAGGTTATAGCAATATTAGCATTGTAAGGACCACAAGGCATTCCCTGATTACACTTTGGCATCACAAAGTACAGCAGTGCACCATTTGTGTCGCTATTGCTGCCATGAATCTTCTCTCCAGCTTCATCAATGCATTCAAAAACTTGATTTCTTCGATGTCCTCTGTGATCTGCCATCAAGTAACCTCTGTACTCTTGGGTCCATGAGTCTGGACAGTTGATCCTACCAGGCAACTGCATTTTAGTAGATTTGTCAGGAACATAACACACAGCACAAGGGACATTCCAGTTGTGGTTACTCCAGATCTTGTTTTGTGATTCATACTCTGTTCCATACATGAAAGTATAGTGTCCAGGGTTTTGAGTGCTGAGATGTCCCACACCACTGGTTGGCATACACACAATGTTTGCTCCTCCTCCATGCTCATGATATCCACTGCCTCCAGCATATCCAGCATAGACTCTTTCTGCTCCACTTCTGCAAGTTGTCTTTCCCCAGCGAGTGTATACAACTCCACTGCCTCTGGAGTCATAATCTGGTGTAAGTGTTATGACAATTCCTTTATCAGTGAGTTTGAGGCCAATGTTCTGCTGTTCAGCTATACAATGCAATCATTCCATAATATCATGTTAAGCCCAACATACACAATGCAACATTTGTTGCTAATGTTGCATGCAATACAGTTTAAGGATTCAATGGAGCTTGCAACATGTTGCATGAAACAGGAAACAGTTCTATTTCATGCAACATGTTGCAAGCTCCATTGACTCCTGTATAAACTGTGTCGCATGCAACAAGTTGTTTGCAATAAATGTTGCATAGCGTATGGTGGGCTTAATACTGCATTGGTTGGTTATACCTTTATCATCTGTTGCCTCTGCTTCTGTATTAGTGGCCAATTCTGTATTAGTCACCAATTCTGTATTTCATAAGTTTTAAAAATTATTGCAAAGATAATTTGCAGTACCTGAATCAAGGTCATTAGTTTCCTTGAATTTACCTATAATACAACATTGCAGATGATAACTCAATCAAATACTAATTGTTCTTACCGTTTTCTGCAACATTAACTGATTCTTCATTATCTGTATCATCACCTGCAAAAAATTTTGAATTTTTCAAAAAAATGTTAATATATAATAATCTTACCAGTTCGAGTACAATAGCTGCTGCTGATCAAAAATGCAAAGAAAGCAACAAGCACGATCCTCTTCATTTTCAAATGATAGCAGTGATGTTATAGACCTAAAATTTTAGAATCTGATTCTGTTCCTTTAGTTGTCTATGTGTAAGTTGCCTCTGCTCTCCTCTTTATATAGGCCATCACTCAATCAGTGGGAGTACTTTGCATGGCATGCAATTTAATGAAGTACACTTTTATACTGCGGCAATTACATATTAACACACAGAACATATCTCTTTCTCAAATTACAATTTCCTTCTTGCTTTCCGCATGTTAATGGACAAGTACTAATTGACTAAGCTTGTCCAAAGTGGGAGGAAAAGTTCTATGGAATTCAAGTTCTTTAATGTTTCTGCTTGTATTCCCATTAAGAACATCACATTTAAATAGTGATCTACATGTGTAAGTAAAATAATCAATTAATACTGGTAATCAACAATAGCAAATAACAAATTACAATAGACCAGGCTTAGAAAGATATCACAAGTTTATGATCATCACCACGAATGTTATCAATCATGGGATTTATTATATTCCTAGTGATAGTCTCTGAGATGTGGCTGCACGTAGCAATGGTAGACTATTATTATGACATCTTCCATTGTTATGCCATGCAGCAAAACATTGCCTTTTTGAATGGGCATTTAACTAAATGTCCACTTCAAAATTGATACCTTTTAATAATAAAATTATTATTCCTGGATAAAATTATGGGTTTGAATAAAAACAGTTTAAAAACACCAAGACAATACTATATACTTATACATAGTGTCATTTCAGTTATTCGTCTCCACAATAGGCAAAGATACCATTGATGTCTCAATGAATGAAACTGATAATTTCCTGTCTCCATTTTCTGCATAAGTGCTACTTGAAGCCTAAAAAACATTCCGTATTGTTACAGCACTAGTTAAAAATGCATGTACGCACCCTTCTTCCGTCTAGTTGTGATTTCAACTCCATAACTTCATTTTGCAACCGGTCAATCTTCTCTTTATCACTCACTACTGTGAATGCTCCACTTTTTCCAAATTCAACTGTAGATGTGATCTGTGTGGTATCACACTTTTCTCCTTCAGGATCTTTATACAAGCGATACATCTATACAATAATAATAATGAAAAATCTCCTTGTTTTAATACCATTCAGTAACTATAATATGACTTGTATATAAAGGCTAGTTTGCAGGCAAGTGTACTTAAATCAAAAGTGTGTGCAATTTGACTTCAATGATTTGTTGATGCATGCTTTAAGCTAGAGTTAATATTGCAAATTTGTCTTTATTCATCACTCACTTTTGGTGCAAATATAACGAGTAAAATGGCAAAGGCAACAATCAGGAGACCAATATCATAAAGGACCTCATGAGTATTATAGAAACTAGAGAGAGCAAATGAGACTATGACCAGCTCCACCAGTACAATGCTAGTTATGTAAATGATGGTAGCAACCTCCTTGGAGTCATTGAGTATTTTGATACGGACTTTGCGTGTTTGCATAGCAAGAATGATGGCTATTATCTGAAGCATCCCAAGATAAATGTAGAGGAAAATGAGCCACACATAGGAAGCAGTAGTGAAGCAGTGGTAAACGTAATAATCTAATGGAACTCCTCTTTCCTAAAAATAAGAATTATTGTAATAAAATAACTTGGAGATCAGACAATATGAATTAGATTTTATAACGCAACCATTTATTCACAAATAAAAGCAATAGTCATAGTATAAAAAGCTCACATTAAACTTGTTGGAATTTTCTCTGTCGGACTCCAGTGAGAGCTTCAATCTTGTTTGAGGTATTGCAGAACCAATTATCAGTATAAATACCATACCTCCAGTTATCAATAGAATTATACCCATCAAATGCCAATCAGTAAGTATCTTTATGTGAACAGGTATAATTGATAATAATAATTTCTATTAGGATCACTTGTTACCTTCTTGTTTGGCGAAGGATTATGAAATATGTAATATATCCTCCACATTTTAGATAGGATTGTTCCAAAAGCAATTGTATAACCAATGAAATCAAGATATAAAGAAATCTACAAAAAGTATTGTAATTAATGAATCTTTATTGAGGCATAGTAACTTACATAACAAAATACTAGTCGAGTTGATTTAAATTCCTCTTCATTACTGGTATCAAATGGGAATGTGCGTAAAAATATAGACAAAAACACCATCGATGTTCCGGCAATGATGAAATAATTAAGATTAGGACTAATAAGCTTGATTAACCTATAACAGCATATATTTATAAGTAAGAGATTTAAGTATAATTTTTAGTTCTTTTTTTAATAACTCACTTTTTATTTCTGAAATAAAAGGTGAATATTAGACAGATGGCACAAAATACAAGCCCGACAAAACTGATTGTATAAAAAATGACAACTAGCGAGGCATGAAATGTAGAGATTATTCGAATAGGAGTGCCATCTGATGGAACACCATCTGAAAATAGAAAATAAATAAAAAATATATAGCATGTAAAGGTTTATGTTAAGTTAATAAAATGTATAGATAAGAGTTTCCTACAAGACTTTAGCATATAGTGTTCAGTGAGTTTTTAAAGTTCCTCAAAAATTGGGAAAGTCCCTGTATAATAGTACATGGTCATGGGCCAAATTTTGCCAAAAATGAAAAGGAGAGAGTTCTTCATTTTTATTGCATTTTCTGATGCATATACATGTACTTATGTTGCGTAGAAAGTTTGAAGTGATTCCAATCAAAATTAGATTTTTTACGAATTTTTAAAATTACTCCAAAATCGGTTAAAAGTCCCTGTACTATAGTACAGGATCATGGGCCAAATTTTGCCAAAAATTAAAAGGAGAGAATTCTCAATTTTTATTACATTTTCTGATGCATATACATGTACTTATGTTGCGTAGAAAGTTTGAAGTGATTCCGATCAAATTTGAATTTTTTATGAATTTTAAAAGTTTCTCTAAAAGCCGTACACTAATCATGTAAGGATTATTGTAAGCTTATGAAGCTCATACATTTTAGTTCAGTTAAACATGCTTTCAGGGAAAATCTGAGACATAGTTATACCTGGAAATACTGTTTCGGTATTTTGATTGTTTAAGTAAATGAATTCATCTTGAAACCAACTAGCCACAAGGAGCTGCTCATCTAATGAAAATTAAAATTAAAATAAAAGTAAAAATAATAATTAAAATAACATATATTGTTATATCTGCACAACGTAACTCAGCACATTAAAAGTAACTCACTGTTTCTTATCTGATAGATCCTAGTTCTACTATTAGGTCTAATACCATCTTCATCAAAACTAACATTTCCCTATAGAATAAGTAAAAATAAAAGTGGTTCTTGGCTCATAAAAGAGACAAGAATATTTTACTATCACTATCACCCAAGAGTAGATTCTACTCTTGCTAAGTGATCATCTTTTATAAAAATGCTTCCATTACAATGTATGCGTGTGTTTCATAGTCTTACTGATAATCCTTCAAAGCTGGTCCTTCCAAGCTCATATCTTATGACACAAGAGGTAGTTGTTATCGTATTGCTCCATTGATCCAATGGAGTCAGTGTACCATTACAATCAGGGCCTGGGCCTTGACCTTCTGCTATTCTTTTTGCTGTTTTATCAAGAGCCAGTGCTAGTGACCACGTGGCATCATAAGCCATGTGTGCCACATAGGTAGGTTGGAAATTGCGATAAGACGAATTAGACGAATTAAGTCTGGCATTGTATAAGGCATAGAAATCATTGTAAGACTAAGAGAGAAGGGAAAGAAAAGAAAAGAGTATAAAGTGGGTGAATATGCATAAGAAAAAAGAGTAGTACTACATGTATATCTTCCTGGCTACAACTAGTACATATTTTACAACTAACTATGTTCATTAACATAGCTCTCCCACCTAATTTTGTCTGTACTACAAACCATCATGCAACAAAACATTATTAATAGTAACAGTAATAGACATATGTACATGCATCTTGTAACAACTTACAAGATCCCCGATGACTCTCTTTGTTACATTGGTATTAATAGGATACTGCTGTACAGCCAATGCTCCATTAAGTACTGAATATAGTTGATCACTTGTACATGCGAATGGATCATTTGGTGTCTCAGTAGATGGTATGGTCCACCACTGATTGCTGTACCATCCGTACAATATCCAAGCATATTTTCTCCTATCTGTAAGTCTTCTTTTATAAGCCTGTAAAGAATTAATTCACATAATATGAGATTCATAAAGGAATTATATACATGCACATCATGGTGCTTACAATAAAAGTTATCTTAGCTAAATCAGCAGTACATAATAATAAGAACATTTTGTAATGGTGTCCCAATTGGTACAAGCCTATACAAAAGTACCTCCCACCTCTGTATTAAGGACAGGTATACTGGTCCTTATAATTACATATAACTGCTCATTAGTAAGTGATGTTATTTGCATCATAAGGCTATAACAAAGGATTACTAAGACTACATACAATGCCTGGAATGCCTTATCAATACTGTAAACGCCACGACACATAAACAATTGTAATGATGGTATTTCCCTCTCAGCATTATGTAATTTAGGAAGGCCATATAGCCTTAATTACATCATACTACTGGATAAAATATTGACAGGAATTCAGTAATTTTATTGACAAAACAGCCAATCTAGAATCTTTCATTTATTATGCTTAATCTCCATAATTAGGGTTTCAAATGACTAAATTAAATTGAAGTCCTTGGGAGAAATTGCCAAAAAAACTCCCATTATTATTGTAAGGTTGCAATCTGGTTGCATCTGGTTCATTGTTGTTGCTTTTCATGTATCTAATAATTGTTTCTTTGAGCCAAAGAATAGCTCAGCATATTACTATGATAATTATGAAGTTATCATTTTCAACTTCCTAATCACGGGGCTCAAGTTACATACCCTCACACTCATAACAGTATCATTCATCAACAACTGTACTGCAGTTACTGCTAATTTGTGACTTCATTTCATTATTCTTCACTACATTAAGCACTCAAAGCCAGAGCCCACCAACATGAAGTAAATTCGATAAAATTCAATTTTAAGTGTCTAGGCTTGTGCTTTTGACGTGGTTTGGGCAGCATGTTGCATGAAGTATGGAGAGTACCTTAATTTCATGCAACATGCACAACAAATTAACCACAATTACCCACAAACACAAGAAATAATGGTGCATGGTATTGCTGACTGAGGTCAACAACAACAACAACAACAACAACAACAACAACAACAACAACAACAACAACAACAACAACAACAAGCTGCCCATGCAGCTAGCATAAAGCTAAGTTATGATCACAAAATAAATCATGAGTTAATTCATTGAACTAACTCTGGCTACAAATCTTATAATCTTACCTCACATATGACTTGTCTTGCTTTAGGCTCCCACATGTTCAAGAAAAAGATCCTTCCAGACTCAGGCTATTAAAGGAAAAAGTATTTAAAATCAACATATTTGAGAAGAATAAAAGGTAGTTTCCTTTAGGAGATTACAGTTTACATAAGCACAGAAGTGTGAACCACATTGTTATCCAACCCAAGAGACCTTTTTCAAATGGTGGTGTATAAAAATGAGACTGCATTACATTAAATTACAATAACATTTATCTTCATTTATCATATAAAATTTTTGAAGGGGCCAACATGCCCCCCTACTGTGTTTGGTAACATAAATAATACACTACAAAAACTTAAATTTGAAAATATTACTTTATTTTTGTAGCAAGCAAATTACACTTACAAATAGATCAGAAATGTTAGCAGGATCTTCATCAGATTCAAAGCTAATCTTCGTAGCAACAATTGACTTTGTATTCAGTAGTTCAATGAGTGACTCTTCAGTCTAATGAATATAGCACAGAATAAAAGTATACATACAAGTACATATAAGTATGGTGATAGTAAAATGTTTAATTAGGTTGAGCAAACAATTAATTTGTTATGAGTTTATCATTAGATTCAATGGGGGTGATTAAGCTTTGGTAGCTTGTGCAATAAACATAACATTTACTCCAAAAATGGCCATAGGTCACTTATATGTGATCATTATTATGAAGTGAGGCATAATGCATGTGCATGTAAACATGATAATTACATCATTGCACATGTACAGGTTGCATAATAGTAATGATAATTGAATAAAAGCAGGCACCAAACATACTTCAGTAAATAGTGTTACTTTCTCAGTAATAATGACAACTCTACTCCACTCATAATGAGTCATGATCGCTGCTATTCCTGGAATATAGTTGCTCTCGGATACGTAGATTTGGAAATAGTTCTTAAAACGATTGCGGTCTCTTAGATGGACTGATGACGAGGAATAAGAGACCTGGAGAAAGTGATAATTAATTTATTATCATCATCATCAAGAAGTATAATTGAGATCATGATTCAAGATGAACTATAAGATGGCTTCTGCTTTCATACAAAAAAAGAAGCCAATTAGTACGTGAGTAACGTACGCTAAATAGCAAAAATATTTGGCAAGAGCTACTGGTAGGGAAATAAAAAGTGGAAGGAAAAGGTAGGTAGAAGGTTGAAGTGAAACAATTACTCATGGAAGACTACCAGTGTTTGTAAATTATTTTTAATAATCAAATGCTGCAATTTGCACAGTTCAGTAAGCTGATGGGCTGTTTGTTTAATATAACTACACAATGCAAGAACACACCTCAATTTAGACAGCCCCTTTGTAGCTCAGTTGCTAATCATGCTACGGTTAAGTTATCATTTCTACAATCCAGAGTAGTACTCATGTTACAACATAGCTCAGATAACAATAACTAGCAGTGATCATTAAAGCTACAAGAAGTTATGTTATTACGTTATTATTTATTTGCGAGTGTTTGTGTATATACTGACTTGAGAGAGACCCCAGAATGGTCCGATTTCAGCTACCGGATCTGTAGCAACCGAACAGCCTGAGCCTATTACTGCAAGGAAGTTGGAACAAGGGGCAGTTATCTGGGAGAGAAATTCAGATAGCGATGGTGTCCTAAGACACTGAAATAAAAAGAAAAATAATGAGAGAGAAAGAGCTATAGAATAATATTTATTACAGTAATCATAAAGTAGTCAGCAGCTAGGGTAAGCTAAAGGCATTTAAAGTCTAATCAACTTCCATTATCAAATCATGTCAAATCAATGAGCCATGTAACTCGATCTTTACCATCATACCCAGCTATACCTGTGAGTCGACTGCGTCTGAGTAGCTCAGAGTAAAGTTTGAAAGGAGAGAAGAGTTGCTGTTGATCCTTTCCAGTGCCATGTCGACTCCAACCAAACTGCTGTAAGTGTTAAAGGAGCTTCCATTACTAGCCATAAATAAGAACTGGAGTTCATCAGGTTCGTGACTGCAATTGAGCTGAGCATTGGCGGTAATGATAAAGGCTAGCAAGGAGAAGAAGAGAAAGAAATTCATTGTGTCGCTAGGCTGTAGAAAAAATGACTGGAATCACATTCACATCCACTGTTGCTTTGGTTGCTTGCTTGCATTTTTAATGTTAAATCCGCCCACGTGAGTTGATGATCCACACCTATCCTCCAAAATGTCGTTAGAAAATCAACAACTGTTACAAGAGGAGCGACAAGGCCTCGAACAAGCTCCCCTCCTGATCAGAAGCATGTCCAGCAACTCTCCAGACGCAACAAGCCGGATTAGGACCATACAAAATGCTCCGGAGGGTAATGCAGGGAAACTTAAGACGTACAAGAGGAGATGGTTCGTATTGGGAGTCTTCATGTCTCACATGATCTCTAACAACATGGTCTGGATCAGTTTCTCCCCCATCTCAACTATAGCACAGTGCTACTATGGAGTCTCACTCTTTTGGATTAATGCTCTCTCATGGGTTTACATGTTAACGTACGCACTGTTTTCACTACCGGCTGTTTGGTTCTTGGAAAAGGGAGGTCTCAAATGGACCGGGTTGATAGGGGCAACGTTAAATGCAGCTGGATCCTGGCTACGGTTTGCTGGAACACGTATGTATGTATGTTTACAATTACTGGAATATTGTATAGTTGTTTTAATGTGCATTTAGATGGTATATCTTTTTTGGAATTTTATAATTATCATTCTAGTTTTAGTTAAGTCTGATACTTGCATCTTTAAAAACATTCCAATTTTAATGATAAACAAACAAAGCATAGACAACAGTTTATTATTATTTTAGACAATAATAAAACATGTCGCATTTTTTGTATTCCTGCAGATCCTCAAATGTTTTGGCTCCTTTTTCTCGGGCAGACGGTAACCTCAGCCACTTATCTGATGGAGAACAATGGCTGCTCCAAAATGTCAGCAATATGGTTTCCACCACGTGAAAGAACCATAGCTACTACTCTATACTCTGTCATAGCATCACAAGTAAGAGAGAGAGAGAGGGGGGGGGGAGAAAGAGACAAAAAGAAAGAGAGAAAAAATGAGGGAAAAAGAGAAGGACAACTATCTAAGGCAGAAATAAAAGGTTTATTGATGAAAAGAAAAGTACATGTACATACATTCTATAAACTATTAAACTTATTTATTCTAATCTTTATAGTTTGGAGTCTTAATTGGACTTCTTGTTGGCCCCCTAGTGGTAACTGGTGGAGGAACAAGCTACACTAATGATATCTGTAATAATACTATTACCATCAATAGTACTGCATTGGATAGGCAGCCTTGGGAGAGCACAGTATACAATCAGCTATTCTACTACATGCTGGCACAGGCTATTCTAACCACACTGGTAATACCACTGACTTACAGTGAGTGGATTTTTAAACTAGCAAGCATGATTTATTTGAATGCTGATTTATTCTGAAATGTATTTTTATCAGTGATTGAAAGCTCGTGTAGATCTCAATGTGTGTGAAACATTTGAGTGACTTTAAAAATTTGTAAAAAATCCAATTTTGATCGGAATCAGCTTAAACTTTCTATGCAACATAAGTACATGTATATGTATCAGGAAATGTAATAAAAATTAAAAATTCTCTTCTTTTCATTTTTGGTAAAATTTGGCCCGGGACCCTGTACTATAGTACAGGGATTTTGACCCGATTTTGGAGCAACTTTAAAATTTCATAAAAATAACAATTTCGATTGAAATCAGCTCAAACTTTCTACACAACATAAGTACATGTATATGTATCAGGAAATAATATGAAAATGGAAAAATTTTTACTTGTAAATTTTGACTAAATTTGGCCCGATGCATTTAAATTGGCTTCTACTGTACAAACTCCTCATTATCATTTCTTTATTAGTTCTACCTGAAGCTCCGCCTACTCCGCCAAGTGTCACTGCACCACGCAACAGCAAAAAAACCCAGACTCCATTTTTACGATTACTAAAGACTGCTTTAAGCAATGTCTACTTTGATATATTCCTAATAGCTACTGGTAAAGATACACACTCATTAATACTATTAATAATAATACTCTGTATTTTATAGCTATATTATCTTCAGCTGGTGCGTCATATGTCACAGTTTTTCAAGAGGTTCTTCATAATGCCGGCTATGAGAAGTACCAAAACGTTATTGGATATTTAGGTTCTAGCATGATGGTGGCAGCCATCATTGGCCTGCTGGTTATTGGTAAATGGATCGACTACACCAGAAGATACTAGTAAGATTACATTAAATAATACTAACGTTGAATGTTGGTAGGATCTTATTGTAGCAATTTTAGCTAATATTAAGCTGCTATTTTAAACAGTTGATGCATTAATAAATACTTTCAAAAATAAAAGATAAATAAAATAAAAGATCTGACTATAATATTGCCAGTGAGCATGTCTTTGTTAATGATAATGTATGTGGACACAACTCTTGATTTATAATAGGATAATTGCTGTATCTCAATGCTTACAGTGTTCTTCTTCCTCAATATAGTGCAACTGTCATATTTGCATCATTCTCTTCTGTACTTATTACACTAACTCTCTCTCTGCTGATCCAATTCAAGCTATTGTTCTACTTAATTTTTATTACAGGCACACTTGTAAGGTACGAGAAAAATAAAGAAAATCATTTTTTTAAATAATAAATTTTTCCAGCTGCTCAATGAGTTTGCTTGGAGGCATTACATTTGAATATGCAGTAGAAATGACCTATCCACTACCTGAAAGTATATCTGCTGGACTACTGAACCTGTTCAATCAAGTAAGTAAGAATGCTATGCCGTGTTACACCTACAGGACACTTGCAAAAAAATTGTATTTGAATCTTCAAATTTTAGTTGATTAAAAAAAATTTTACCCTTGCTCGCTTTAATTTTTGAGTGTTTTAAAACCACACTTATTGTTATAATTGTGTTGCTATTTCTTATAGATAATGGGTATAGTAATGGTGATTGCAGTGGGTCAGCTAGTGCAGCATAAACTAGCCATGTATGGTAACTATGTATTCACTGGGCTACTACTGCTTGCTAGTATCATTGTTGGTAAGTAGACAAAGTCAAATGATGAGGATTTTATTTTTTTATTTTAGTTTTTGTTCGTCCAACACTTCGTAGAGTTAAAGTTGAAAATGACACGACTTGAGATGCTTTATCACTTAAAATTTTAAAGTCATAATGTCTGTGTGTAATAATAAAATTATTGATAATAACAATAAGACAAAAACATGATCGAACAGTTAATAAGTTTTAATCTTTAAAATAGCTTTATATCTGCAAGACTTTAGAAAATGTAATGATAATATCAGTATCATGGCTTCCCACGCATTGATTAAGTTGTGTGGGCGTGAGGTTAGTATAGTAGGCGGAGTCTATTTTTAAAGGCGGGAAGATGTCGGCAAACAACAACTCTGGAGCAGGCAAGGGATTGCCTCTTGCTAGGTAGGTATTCCTCCATTTAACTATAAAACATCCTCTTTTTGTAATAGGAAACGAACTGATAGGAGATCATCAGTAAGTCTACTAGCCTGTCTCCAGCAGAGAGAAATCTTAGTCTTTGTTTTGTTTTGAATCTTGCTGTCCATTAAGACTTCATATCTTCCTGTTCTTATTCTTTATAGATATTGAAGCCCTCAAAGTCAGATGCCCTCTCTTCATCTATATTGGCAGATAAAAGGTAATTAAAATTATTTATTAATTTGTTGTAATACAAAGTCTTCATTACATGTACATGTACATATATGTATCAAGTTACATGTATATGTATTGTTAATTCATACTTTGGGAATTGGGCATCTATTCTGGTTTAATGTGTATTATATGCAGGTTATGCTGAAATTTTATGGGATGTGTTTACTTTACATGTATAATTGTACATACATGTATATGAATTTTATTTATTTATTTATTTTATAATTTTTTGTAGAGGACAGATGGAGAAGAGAAGAGTTAGCTTTAATCAGAATATCCTCGTCAAGTATGTAACAATTATTCATTTATTCATTGCAATACAAATACATGTACATGTACATAGTTCGTGTGAATATACTAACCAATGAACCATATACTGTACTGTGTACTCCTTCACTGTGTTCTATCTATTAGGGAGTTTGCGAAACAAAAGGAAAAGAAACAGAGTAAGTGTACATGTACATGTAATAGCTAGTCTAGCCTATACCTTCTCCTATCTTTAGTCTGTTTGACATGTTGTGTACATGTACATGTATCTTGAGTTATAGTTATAATTTATTGTAGTCTATTATATGTACTACATCTACATGTATTGTTTCATTTGTTTATTTATTTGTTGTTGTTTCTGTTTTTAGATGACTCTGTCGAATCTTCGGGTTCAGAGACTTCGGCCACTAACCTCTCTAAAGTAAATTATTAAATTATGATTATTAAATTATATTGTTGTTATTATCATTATTATTTATTATTATTTATTATTATTATTATTTTGTTAGGTGTATGAGACCCAAGCCAACGAGTCCTTCTTCCAAATCTCCACTCCAACCATCGGAGCTAAGAAGAGACGCATCACTGGGCTACCTGATCGACTCTCTATCATTCCTCAAGCATATAAACCGGACCTTGAAGACGACCTTGAGTTTGAGGTATTGTGTATAGTCTGATATTAGATGCTGTATAACTAGTACAAATGTGTATCATTTAGTACATGTATATACTATAGCATTATATTAATGATATAGTTAAATTAGCACAATTTTTAAAAGTAATTGGAACCACAGTACATCTATATGAGGAGCGTTGATTTGATGTAACACTATATCCCAGCTAGTATGGATAGTGTCTTTAGCACTTCTTTTAAGTTATTATGCTGGGTAGCCTTGAAGTCTTTCCATGATGTATATGTACCTTATTGTAGTGCTATAGACATGATGTGTAGTTAACAACTTATCATTCATTTTGTGTGTGTCTAGCCTTATGCTGAAGAGAGTCCAGGAATTACAGAAAAAGGTGCCATCATAGAACAACCACCTCAGCAGCAGGTTAGCTAATGTACATTGTTTCTTATTAGTTTCACAAGTATTATATTACGTAGCAGGCTTAAATTATAATCTATGCTGTTTTTACTTGTTTTTTTGTTGTAGTCTTTCATTGGGGGAGAGATCAGTGATAAGGAGAATCAGGAGCAGATACTGGAACCAGAACCAGTACAGCAGCAGGTGTGAATGAACTTAATTTGTTTGTACTTTAATATTATTACATTTTTTGATACATATTGATGTACTTATGCTGTGTAGAAAGTTTGAACTGATTCCGACTTCAATTTTTCAAGTTACAGCCATTTGAAGAAATGGGCCAAAATCTGAAAAGTTCCCTGTACTATAGCCCATGGTTTTTTCCAAAAAATGGCTCCGAAATCACCCCCAATTTTTATTACATTTTCTGATGCATATTGATGTCCTTATGCTGTGTAGCAAGTTTAAGTCGATTCCGACTTCAATTTTTCAAGTTACAGCCATTTGAAGAAATGGGCCAAAATCTGAAAAGTTCCCTGTACTATAGCCCATGGTTTTTTCCGAAAAATGGCTCCGAAATCACCCTCAATTTTTATTACATTTTCTGATACATATTGATGTCCTTATGCTGTGTAGAAAGTTTGAGCTGATTCCGACTTCAATTTTTCAAGTTATGGCCATTAGAATTAATCCCACTTATACCTGTTCCTAATGGTTTATAGGTTGATCCTGTACCTCTTACTTGTAATCCTGACCAGTTCCTTCAAGCATCAGTTGTTACCATCAACCAATCAGTGGATATGAGCCTTACTTTAGGAGCTACCTCAGTTCAGCTGCAGTTAGGATCATCTAAAGACTCCAGTGAGCCCAAGACTGATGCACATGGACCAGCTGGTACCATCAACCAGTCAGAAGACATGAGCTTGACATTAGGGGCCACTTCATATACTACTTCAGTTCAGTTACCTAAGACTGATGCACATGTATCAGGAGGAGCACCTGATGGCCCTACACAGCAGCAACAACAAGTAATGAATATAAAATCCACAATTATTATATTTGTATATACTTACTGGATCTTATAATTTCAGGTCTTTGAAGAGGAGTCTTTGTCTAAACCAGAGAAGGATCAGGAAGGGCCGGTCCCTGTAGCTTCAGTTCAAGCTATTCAACAAGAAGAAGAGAGGCACCATGTTTCTGTAACCAAACCTACACGTATTGATGAGCAGCAACTCTCTCCTAAGTTCTGCTATGACTCCCCAGTAGTAGATAATATGGATTATAAGAATATGGATACTCCAGTACCGATATCACCTGACAGCATTTCCAATACTTATAAAGCTAATAATAATGATGGTAGTTATTGTGCGAATTCTGATTCCTCGCTCGATGTCACATGTCACGATAAATCAATGTTTTCTCATGCTGGGGGTACACTCCTCAGTGGAGATATGTCCATGACGTATGACGATTCTAATATATTTGACGTATCTGATGGTGACTGTATTCCTAAGGGACCCAGTGAAGCTATCCAGCAACATCTTCCTCCTACCACTTCTCATTTACCAGTTACAACTGGTAACACTTCATCAAATAAAGCGGACAATCCTTCACATACCAGTATTGTACATCCACCAGTTACTGCTCCTGCTAGCACACGTGTTGAGTCTTTTCTTCAAAACCTTCCCCCAAGTACTCAAAACTTAGCGCAGACACTAGAAACCTTACCTCCTCCCCCAATGACTAGTGGGCCAGTGGTCGCTGCTCCTGTATCATCATCAGATATCAGTCAGAGATTGCCTTCTCCCCCTCCATCTCTCACACAATCAGTTGACATGTCATTAGTGACCCCTACTGGATCCTTTTGTATGCCAATTGAGAAAAATGTTCCCCTTCCATCAACTTCACAAATAATGGCAGCTCCTCATGCTTCTGTCATGGAAGATCTACCTCTTCCTATAATGGCCCCTCCTGATAATGTCCATTCTTCTATTAGACAAGATATATCTCTTCCTATAGTCAATACTTCAGTAGCTCCTACTTATACTAGTCTACACTCTCAGGTCAATACCTCAGTAGGTCCTACTAATGGCCGCCACTCTCACTCATTCAAAGCTGCAGTAGACAGCAAGTCAGGCAGTACTACATCAGGAGAGAAGACATCTAAATTGCCAGCAGCTCTGTCTCTTATTCCTGATACTGACAGTCGTACAGCTCCCATTTCTACAGCTAATACATCAATAGGTTCTACTAGTCAGACTTATGCTCAGATACACAGTATGGATATACAGGTTACTGTAGAGCCTCCTACTCAATTAGCTGCTCCAGATCAATCTTTCACTTCTGCTGATAGTGAGCATAATGTTAGTCATCCTCCTCCTCCTCTTGAAGCTGTAGCTGCTCCTGATGATAATAAATCTTATAACATTAAGAATCGTACTATAGAGAAGATCCCTCATCTTCCTAAATCTCCTCTTTGTATCTCTCACTCAGCTAATGTGTCTTCAGTGGAGTCTACTAGTAATGATACTAACAAGAAGCAACTTCCACTTCCTTTTGCATTAACCGATACGTCAGTACCTAATATTGAAGATGAGGCTGAGCCTCCTATAGAAGCTAATATTGAGAAGCAACCTTGCAATACATCTGCAGTTGCTCCTAGTGTACATCCTATTGAGAATAAGGCTGGCCCTCCTCATACACCATCAGTAATTGTCGCTCCTAATGATTCAATGGCTTCCACTAGTACTCATCAAACTGAAGCATCAGTGAGTACAGCTCACAGTGAAGTTGCTGATCTTATACATCATTCCTTCAATGTCTCTGCTGGTCAGAAGCACCCCAGTAGCTCCTCTACTATAGCTGTGTCTAAAAAGTTAGCCATCACTCCTAAATCAGGCACTAGGACCATGTCAGGACTCAAGTCTCCTTATATGCCTGACTATAGTGGCCCTAATACTTATGTACAGCAGCGGACTGGTAGCTTAAAGAAGACAAAAGAACAGCAACTCAGTAGTAGTCTAAAGAAACCTAAAGTACAGCGAAGAACAAACGAGCCTCTTTCAAGGTCCATGCAATTGAGGTCATCGTCCACAGGAAAGAAGCAACAGTCAATGGATCCCATTAGGCCATCAATACAACATGGCCAGAGATCAATGGAGTCCTCATATCAACAGGAACAAGTCTCTAGACCTTCTACTAGAGCTTCTCTTAATAGAACCGGTGAGATACTGTCCTTTCCTTTTCACAATACTGCTTCTCATTATGTACATGCATGTACTATTTTTTATTTTATTATTATTTATTTATTTATTTATTACTATTAGGTGTCTCTGATACAAGAAGTACTTCTACATTCATAGTACAACCAGCAGCAGTTCTTGTACCTGAACCAGATGAAGAATGTATTGAGGAAGAGGAACCAAATGACAGGACATTTGTAATTCACACTAGTTCTCTCCATCAGGTACAGTATAATAATAATGATAATATACTGTTATAGCTATAATTGCATGTTTGTGTAAGAAGAATGCTCACTGAATTAAAGAGAAACACTATACTGAAAATGATAGTGATATCCTTGCATGCTATAATGTACATTTGTATAATAGCTCATAATATTTTTCAATTATAAATTTATTATTTATTCTTGCATTATTATAGTCTGCACAATTGGATGGTTCTCCTGAGCTTGATGACACTGTTGTCCTAGAGCAAAGCAATAAAGATACAAACTGGATCAACGAAGTCTCCGAAATTGATTTTGTCGAGAACACTCCAGCAAGCAACACTCCAGTCCCTCGCCGGTACTTGACTCGTAGCGCCAGTAAAACTGGTTCACCTCGTCCTACTAGTGCTAGTAAGATACCCAAACTGACCCCACGTAGGGCAAAAGGCCAGTCTGCTAGTAAAGCAAGTAAAGCTAGACTGGAGCGAATAGCAACTGGTATGGCAGCACTGCAGGATGATACACTTAGCACTGGTAGAAAGTTTGATGATTCACTTCATATACACACACCTGAGATTCTTGTATTGGATGAAACTGTCAATCAGACAACTTTCATGGAAGGAGATGATTTGTTAGATTCTACTGTGGCCTCTTCATCTACTGGTACTGACTTTCTTAAAAGAATAGTTGTGGCTGCTAATGCAAATGAAACTATAAACTTAGTGGAAGAGTATGAGAAGCAGGAGAAGGAGAGAGAGAAGGAAAGGAAGAGGAAAGAAGAACTCCAGAGATTAGAAGAGGAGAGAAAGGAGGAAGAATTAAAAAGATTGGAAGAGGAGAGAAGGAGAAAGGAAGAGCTTGAAGAATTGGAAGAGGAAAGGAAGAGAAAAGAAGAGCTTGAGAGATTGGAGGAGGAAAGGAAGAAGGAACAAGAACTTAAAAGATTGGAGGAGGAGAGGAGGAGAAAGGAAGAGCTTAAAAGATTGGAGGAGGAAAGGAAGAAGGAAGAAGAACTTAAAAGATTGGAAGAGGAGAGGAGGAGAAAGGAAGAGCTTAAAAGATTGGAGGAGGAGGAGGAGAGAAAGAAGGAAGAAGAGAGACTGGAGGTGGAACGAAAAAATCAAGAAGAAGCAAAAAGACTTGAAGATGAGAGGAAGAGACTGGAAGAGCTTGCACTTTTAGAAGAAGAAAGGAAGAAAAGAGAAGAGAATGAAAGGCTAGAACAAGAACAACTGAGGCTTGAGGAAGAAAAAAGAAAGAGAGAGGAAGATGAACGTCAACGATTAGAAGAGGAAAAGAGAAGAGAAGAAGAGAGAAAGAAGAGAGAAGAGAATGAAAGGCAACTGAGACTAGAAGAAGAAGAACGTCAACGATTAGAAGAGGAAAGAAAGAGAGAGGAAGAGGAGAGACAGCGACAGGAAGAAGAACGTGAACAATTAGAAGAGCAAAGAAGAAGAGAAGAAGAGCAAAAGAAAAGAGAAGAGAATGAAAGATTAGAACAAGAGCGACTGAGGCTTGAGGAAGAAGAAATAAAAAGACAAGAAGAAGAACGTCAGCGGTTAGAAGAGGAAAGGAGAAGGGAAGAAGAAGAGAGAAAGAGACAAGAGGTTCTTAACAAGCGGATAGAGGAGGAGAGACAAAGACGGAGACAAGAGGAAAGTAGAAGACAAGAGGAGAGCAGGAGACAAGAAGAAGAAAGAGAAGAAGAAGGAAAGGATGACGACACAACTACACAAGAGAGAGGAGAAAAGTGTGCAGTTAGTGAAGAATCTAAAGTGATTGAGACAAACTCAGTTCAACCTTCAATCCTCTTCATTGATGTCTTAAGGAGAGTAGAAAGAAAGTAATAACCGAATTATTATTTATTGTAATTGTTGTGTGTTGTGTTATGCGCAGGGTAACATCAGTTTTTGATATGATCAATTTAAGGCTACTTGATGATGGACCAAGATTCAAGAAAGACTTGAAACACCTTCATGGAGTAGCCTATTCATGTAAGCCACCCATGTACATATAGGAAGGATATTAGACAGAAATGGAGACCTTTATATTATGATACCTATTACAATAGAGATAAGATTGCTGTCTAATTTTTATTCCTGTTATACCATTAGTTAATTGTGATATTTTTGTAGCTCTTTTGGTTATTCGTTGTATGCTAAACTATGCAAGATCCAGTAGCCTACAGTCACCTCATTGCAATATAGTGATACCTGATACTGCCCCTGGTCTGTTCCCTAATGGCAATGATGGATCTGGATCAATGGAAGAGAAGGAGGAATGGGTCAAGAATCTAGTAAGAGATGTAGTTTAATGTATTATTATCATTATTATTTTATAGCTACAAGTGATGGATTACTATATTAATGGATTAATGAAGAAAAGCATCAAAGAGACATATGAACAGTAAGCTATACTCCATCATAATGTCCTTATACTTATTCCTCTCCTCCTGCAGACATTATGAATGGAAGGTATCATTTTGGTGCAACGAGTATGCGGATATTGTATTCAAGAAGAGAAATATAAAACTAAGAGTGAATCTAAGCACTAAAGGTAAAACCTAGTACCTGTCAAGTTATTATAATATAATGAATTCAAGTTTTTTATATACATGTACTTGTGATTGATATAAGAACATTTTGTCATTTTTTGTTCAGGGATACTTCCTTCTCGAACTTGGGCTGTTCATCGCTGTCAGAAGATTGATTCTATTCACTTTTCGTCACTAACTGGTATGGAACCGAACTAGCATTATTATTATTATTATTATTATTATTATTATTATTATATTTTATAGAAGATGCAAAAGTAGAACAGTTTCAAACACACAATTTTAAGCACAACTCCACAATTTGGGATATACCAATGGTATGGATACTATAATATTTAGTGAGGTATTATACTATTGTGACATTTTCTACTGTAGTTGATCCAGGAAGTCTTGCAGATTTAAAGCCATTTTAAAGATTAGAACTTTACAGTTATTAGCCGTCGAGATCATGTTTTTGTCTTATAATTAATGTTATTATCAATTTATTAATATTATTGCACACAGACATTATAAGTATAAAATTTTAAGTGATAAAACATCTCAAATTATGTCACTTTCAACTTCGACTCTACAAAGTGCTGGACAAACAAAAACTAAAATTAAAAAAACAATTTTCCTCATTATTTGACTTAGTCTACTTACCAACAATGATACTAGCAAGCAGTAGTAACCCAGTGAATACATAGTTACCAAACATGGTTAGTTTATGCTGCACTAGCTGACCCACTGAGATGACCATCACTATACCCATTATCCACCAGCAAATATTAGTTAGATACTCATATTATCTTCATTAATTTCTATTCTGTAATGGAATTGCATGGACAAGTGGAGTACATGAACAAATAAACATAAAACAATAAATATAATAATAATACAATACAGTGATAATAATAAATTATAATGGTAATCATTGCTTTTCTTCAGACTCAGAGTTTGTTCCGTCAGTTATTTTATCAACAAAAATCTCCTGATCTATTTCATATTCTATCCTCTCTTTAGCTCTTACCACCTATTAGATTGAAAATAGTTTTAAATTTTGTGAATGAAAGTAGTTCAATTTTTTGCTAAAGCAGGACTATTTTAGAAGATTTTTTATGTACCTTTGATTGCAAATAGAAGGAACCTCCTTGTGATTTATCATTTGCTTTAAATAGATGCTCATAATTCTGAAGGACATCAAAATACAGCAACTAGCAATCAATTTCTAACATACTTTTCTGATAGCTTCAAGATTTTCCAAATCGTCGACACTTAATATACTTTTAGCTTCTTGGAGTGATAGTCCGGTATAAGTACTGGCTTTTGCTGCTTTGTTGGCATCTCTGCCTGCCTCAGTAGCAGCTTTCCTAGCAGCTGCAGTTGCTGTAAGAAATAATAATAAAATATAAGAACTAAGAGGGTATTATAATTAATGTACAATGAATTCATTAGCATTAAAACATGACCAACAATTAAAAATGGTGGACGAGAGTAAAGTCACTAAAGTGACAATAAAAAGAAAGTAATTGATATACCATATATACTTGATTAATGAGGAGTTGTGTTATGATGTAAATTCAATTAGTGATTACATCATCATTACAAATACCTTGATATTCTTGTTTTAGTGCTTGAGTAAAAGCTCTAGCGACGGCTTGACCACCTAATACTATGATTTGTGCTAAGAAACGAGCCTAAAGAAGCAAAATAAAACAGAAAAATCATTAACATCAAAAAGTACCATATTGCCTTGTGGGCGGAGTTGAAGTAATAAAGTAGGCGTGGTTTACGTTTGAGCCACACCCATTTGCTAAAATGGCAAGTGCAATGACATGGACATGTACATCTTGTACATACGAGAATCAGTTAAAATCTCAATACTGCTCCATGTGTAATGAAGAAAGGAGCTTTAAAGATAGTGATCCTATGAAAAGGAGGCAGAAGAGAACAAAGAAAGAAGATGAAGAGGAAATAGGTCCTGAAGTTACAGTCATGGATCGACTGTCATCTTTCTCTAGATCTCTCTTTCGTTTGAAGAGCAGCCATTGGAGCTGCCCTGGATGTACTTATAAAAACAACGAGGCTGATACTCAATGCGCAGTGTGTGGGCATGATAAACCAATTGATGTTAAACAATCTAAAGATGACAGGCAATCTAATGACACTAACACTGGTAGTATTACCAGTAGCATCAGCAATGGGATCAGCTCTGGCTTCAAAAAACTTAAGAAACTTTTTGAGCCAGAGCCTGAAGTAACAGTAACAGGATGGACATGCAGGAAATGTACTTTTGTCAATCATCCTGATTTACTGGAGTGTGAGCAGTGTGGATCAACAGGGCGGCGGCATCCACTGAGTTTAGATCATATACTACCAACAGACGACGGCGAAGTATTATTTGGCGATCCAGCTGTGCTTAGAGAATTAATAAATAAATTAGAGAATAGTCCACTTAATGAATATTCATTAGAGGAGACAGATAAATGGGTGTGTCCGGCTTGTACATATCATAATAAAGGAGGTGAAAGGTGTGGCGTATGTGAACGACGGCGGACCATTGTCACACCTTTAAGTCTATCTACTGATGTACCTAACAAGTTAGATCTAGTACGACAGATTAGCAGTGACCAATCTCAGAGTGTTAAAGAGATAGAGGAGCTTATGGAGGATTATGCTCGTAGGGTGGAGAAGAGCATTGTTGCTCAACAAAAGAAAGTGAGGGGTAGTATATTATATGTACATGAATGTCATTGTTGACTTTCCATTAAAAATGACAATTTGGAAATAAGTCAGTAATTAATACACAAATCCATGTACATGTAAATGATTAAAGTTTTATAGTTTTGATCTCAAATTTCATAAAACTATTGCACAATGTACACGTAACTCAATTTGTTGCTATTTTATGTGCAAGAAAGTGTTCATGATAAGTTCTTGTTTTATAGTTAAAAGAGCCATTCATTGATCCTGATTTCCCCCACTCCCCTCGATCGCTTTATATTAATCCAAAGATCCCAATATCTCGCTGGGATGTCATTAGTAAGTGGTCCAGACCAGCTGATATACGTCTTGACAGAAGACATGGTACCTGGTGTGTGTTTAGGGATCCTAAACCTGACGACATTGCACAAGGAATGCTAGGAGATTGCTGGTTAGTAAACACATGGCACATGCAGTAATTCTGATTGGCATCAATGAGAAGCAAGTTTTGTGAACCATGTGAAGATTCCCTTTTTGACATCTTCACCTATGGGGAGATATCCTTGCATACCGTTATTTTAAAGATAATTCCAGTGTAATATATAATTTTACTTTTATTATTGCTAGGTTTCTTAGTGCACTTGCAGTGATTGCAGAAGTACCTGAATTATTGCAGAAAATTCTTATAACAAAAGAAGTATGATGAATAAAATCAAAATATAATTGAAGTTTTTATACTCTATACCCTATCTTTTCCAGTGCATAATATCTTCATTCCAAATTATCACACTTCTTATTCTTGCTTTAGTTTTGTCCTCAAGGTGTTTATTTGGTAAAACTGTGTCGTGATGGACTCTGGCAGACCATACTAGTCGATGACTATTTCCCTGTTACTGCAGATTTTTGGAGTAATCAACTAGTTTTTTCAAAAGTAAGTAACAGTGTAAACCTCTTACAATCTTACATCACCTCTTCTTGTTTTTTCTGTTCTTCAAGGCTCGTAGAGGACAGCTATGGGTTCCTCTGATAGAGAAAGCAATGGCTAAGATGTATGGATCATATGAATCACTTGATGGTGGCACCATCATTAGTGGTCTCTCAGTATTGACTGGGTATCCTTGCGATGTGATACACTTAAGAGCTCATCATGCAGGTACTATAACTGCAGACTATTGTCCTTTAAATGTGTTTGAAGATTTAATCTTATTGCATATAATGATTAATAATATACTTTTTTATGTTATGTATGAATGTAGATGAGGAAGTTGAGCAAGAGCTTGTGTGGGCTAAACTCCTGAGTTTTAAAGAATCCAAGTATGAAGTTTTAAATTTGAAATTTAAACAATGTATTTATGTATTTATGACAGGTTTCCAATGGCAGCTTCTAGCAGTCCAGTTGATCCAACCGAATCCATTGATACTGAACTTGGTATTCAACCATTTCATGCTTATTCTATATTAGACATAAAACAGATTGGAACTGAGAGGTAGGGTACATAGTACAGTACATTCAAGCATCATTCATTCATTTTTTGTGTTATTCTTTTAGTGTTGTAGTGTTGAGAGATCCATGGGGTCACACTAAACCAGGTAGGGAATGGAGAGAATCTGAACCTGGAACTTTCATGATCGGATCAAACCATCTCTTCAAGTTAGTCGAAAAGCAGGAATTCATTTAGAAAGTCCTAAATAGCATTTTTGGTTGCCTGCCGAAAAATTGGCAAAATGTTTATGTATGGATTATGCAGCATGTACAGTCAATCCACAATTTTCCAAATAATATTTAAAACATCCTTCATTTATTATAAAAAGATTGAAATTATGATTATTTTGCTTATAGCTCTATTGTTTTTCCTCGTCTTTTCCTTCTTCCCTGTAAACTTTTGCTCAGATACTTTTCTCATGTTGATGTGTGCTACTATCATCCTGACTGGCACAGTATTCGTGTCAAAGGTCAATTCCCACGTCATGCCCCATCACATCTTGAAGTACTCACTTTTCAAACCTTTGAACCAACGGAGGTCAAAATATGCCTCTATCAACCCTCATACAGGTAGTATAATAATACATGTACATGTATTATTTGGTTGGCTAGTTGCTATAATTTTGAATGGTAGAATTGATTGCAGCCATAGAAATATGTTTTATCATATTAATTATGTATTTCATAAATTCATAGAGGCTGTAGGGAAGAGAGTTATAAGAAGGTGGATATATTGCTGCTACTGGTACGGTATGATGACAGAGGGGGATCACTGGATAAACTTGAAGGATCATTACCATTCCCTTCCGAGTGTATTACCACTAGCAAACATAATATGACCTCAGTGGTCACCTGTTCTGCAATTCTTAATCCAGGAAGGTACTATAGTACAAGCCAAATTTTTGCCAAAAATGAAAAATTGGAGAATTCTTTATTTTTATTATTTTTTTCTGATACAAGTATCTGTATAACAGTAACTTCTATTTGTATATAGGTATTCTGTTATACCATTGAGTTTTAAGAATTGGCATGCAACTTTGTCACACGAGAGTCCTGTCCCATATGTCATAGGATTGTTTTCTGCTAAAGTGATTGAATGGGTTGAACGGGCACCCACTAAACCAGGGTATCTGTCTGAATCACTGTTCCTGTTGGCTAGGAAGGAAGGGACACTCAGAAGTGTAAGTTATTTTTTGTACTCATACAGTAGTATTCTATTCAATTTTATCTTTCGTTGCTTAGTTTAATCATCACTTAAAGTTGTACGATGTTCATATTTCTCGCTCCCTTTGGTTTGTTGTGATTGAGAATCATGACAAGTTCTACCACTACAGAATATCCATAGACTTTACTGGCACAATCAATCTCAAACTATCAAGAAATGGTCTTCAGATAGATGACTACATACCACCTCAGCATAGGTTAGATTATCAACTATAAAGTTATTGATATTATTATCAATA